ATCTCTCCTAGATTTCATCTCTCCAGCATCTCTTGTGGATTTCACCTCCTCAGCATCTCTTGTGCATTTATTTTGCCTCTCCAGAATCTGTCCTCCATTCTACCTCTCCGGCATCTCTCCTAGATTTCACCTTTGCAGAATCTCTTCTCCATTTCACCTCTTGAGCATCTCTTGTGGATTTCCCCTCTCCAGCATCTCGCCTCCATTTCATCTCTCCAGTACATTCCCTTCTCTCCTCTGACACTGCCCCCACCCTGGGGCAGACCCTCTTCACCTCATACTGGAGATGGACTATTGCAATAGTCTCTGGGAGGGTCTACCTGCTTCAAGTCTCTCCCCTCTCCAGTCCATCCTCCATTCAGCTGCAAAAATGATCCTCTTAAAGATCAGATCTGGCCACATCACCCCCTATTCAATAAGCTCCAATGGCTCCTTATTAAATGAGATAATATTTGCAAAGTGTTTAGTCTAGTTTCTGAAACTATATAAATGGCAGCTATCATCACCAATCTCCAGGATCCAGTACAAAATCTTCTGCTTGGCTTTTAAAGCCCTTCATAAACTGCCCTGCTCCTACCTTATCTAGGCTCTATATTGTGTGGTCAAACAACTCTGGCCTCCTGGCTGTTCCTTACATACAACACCCTGTCTCCAGACTCTGGGCATTTGCCTTGGCTGTCACACCTGCCTGGAATGCTCTCCCTCCTCATCTCAGCCAAAGACAGACACTGCTCATGTCCAGCCTCCAGAGGCTGGTAAGAAATGAGGATGCAGCACAATGGGTCTCCTCCTAAGGGCCTGCAAACCTGCAAAGACTTAGAAAGTTATTGTGATCTTTTTATTCAAGTTAGCAGATATTGGAGGATCCAAGTCTGTGAATAGAAAGTCAATTGAAAATCTGAGCTCAGGACAAGAAGTCAGTTTCCTATTGGTGCCTGGGATCAGTCCATCAGTCAGTAAACATTTATTAAATGCCTACTATGTACCAGGCACTGTGCTAAACACCAGGGATACAAAAAGAGAAAAAAGATAGTCCCTGCCCTCAAGGAGCTAAGAGACAAAATTCCCAGGGGAGCATGATGGACGAGGCCAGAGAAGGGCAGCCTGGTGGAAGGGAGGAGATAGCGGGCCTAGGCCCCTCCTCAGTGAAGGCACTTCAAAGTAGCAGGGAAAGTCAGTTTGGAAAAGGGTCCCAAGGTCTGAGAGTGGGCCAAGGATCCAGGATGCGATAGAGGGGAGAGAGCCATGGCTGGGACTGGGAGCCCTCTGAGGACCCAAGCCTGGGCTAGGGATGAACAAATGGAGCTTCTCACTGCAAACAGGGGCAGGGCAGGGCTGAGGCCATCGTCATGCATTCCCTGTAGAAGCCAGGCTCCCCAGGGGGCCCCACAAGAGGCGCTGTCACAGGGGGGTGGTGGGGAGAGGGGGGTTGGGTCTCCTCCACGCCTGGAGGCCCGGGAAGATGGAAAGTGGGCTCTGTCCTCAAGCAACCTGGGCTTCTCTTGACCTCCCCTGCATAGCCAAGAGGCTGCCCGCCCGCAGGCAGCCCCTTCCTCCCTGCTGTTGCCCCACTGTCCAGACGTGCTCAGCCTGCCACTTCCCTTGTGGCTGTGGGCTCTCAAGGACAGCAGGTGGGTGTGCTCCGTACCACATCACCTGGGGGAAGGGGAACAAGGAGGCTTTTGGGGGCCCTAATGAAGTAGTGGGTCATCTATGAAGAGAGCCAGCCCTCTCCTGTGTAGCCCCAAGCAAAGCCCCTTCCCTCTCTGGGGCAAATGGGATGATTCTCAGGCTCCATCCAGCTCAACGAGCTAGAATTCCCCAGTCTATCCAAAAGGTAGCAATGGGGCAGGGGACTGGACAGAGACTGAACATCCCAGGAATCACCAACAATGACCACCCCAAGTGGTTGAGCAGTAGGGAGGACAAGAAAGCATTTATTAAGCACCTACTGTGTGCCAGGCACTGGGCCAAGCACTTCACAAACACAATCTCATTTGATCCTCACATCTACCACATTACTATGCCCATTTTAGAGATGAGGAAACTGAGGCAAACAGAGATGAAGTGACTTGCTCAGGGTCCCCAGCTAATAAGTGTCTAAGACCAGATTTGTACTAAGGTATTGCAGACTCCAGATCCTGTGCTCTATCCATGGTGCCATCGGCTGCCTTGAACACATTAGAAAGCGGTTGACCAGAAATCAGGGAAACCTGAGTTTGAATACTATGTCTTCCCCTTCAAAGCTGTGTGACCTTGTTTCTTCATCTCTACAGTAGAAGCCTCTATCCTGCAGTCCCCTCCCCCACAGGACCAAGGAATGGTGGAAAAGGAGATCCCACAGCTGCCACTACAGGTGAGCATGGCACAGGAAAACGAGCAGGTGTCCCAGCGGGGCCTCCCCTCCGCAACGCTGGCTGTTTTGCATTAGAGGCGTCCTGGGCCACCCCGCTCATTTTACACATAAGGAAACAGTCCAGGGAGGGGTAGAGATTGGCCCAGGGTCACATGGCCAGTGAGAGCCAGCACCCACCCCCACAGGCTCTGCTGGTCCCATCAGGATTGGCGTCCCCGAGCCTGACCTGGGGAGCTAGAGTCTGGGGTAGGGGCTGTAGGGGTGGAATGGTGAAGCTTTATAGGAAAAGCTTGAAGCCAGGAAGGACCCAAGAGAAGGGCCCTAGGATGACCCACCCACATCTCCCTGGCCCTGCGGTCAGAAGATGGGGGCCTGAACCCTGCCCCCCCCAATGCTAATGGGGTACAGGCCTACTGGGCACCTCTGCACCTCGGCTTCCCAGGATCATGGAGAAGGAAGAGCTGCACCCCTGGGCTGGAGGGCCTGCTCTCTGCACAGACTGAAGGGAATCACGCCTGGGCATTCTACGACTCTGCCTACCAATGCTAGGGGATCGTAGGCTTCATCAGGCACTAGCGAGCCGCAAGCAGCAGGTGGCGCTGTTTCACTACCTTTGGAGCCAGAGGCTCTCCTGGGAGGAGCCTAACAGCAGACAGAACCCTGTGGCTGCTCACAGGGTCTGAGGCAAAAAGCGTAAAACTCCCACTCAGGGGCAGCTGCAGTGTCAGTTAGTGAACTCACTCACCCCTGGGCTTTTGGCAGGAGGCTTCTGGTCCCCATGAAAGGCACAGGGAACCAGAAGTGGCCCTATCCCAGATTCCCTCTGGGCCTCAGTTTCCTCATTTGTATGATGAGTCAATTGGCAAAGACCCCCATGGCTCTGATATTATGGAGCTGGGACCCAATCGAGGCAGCCCTTCAATGATGGGGCAGCCTGTCCCAACCTGAAGAGGCCCCGAAGCGGAGTCAGGCTCCAGAGCGGCCCATGGCCTCCCCGTACTTCTGAACACTCTGAAAGCCCAAAGCTCAAGACAGCTGGGCAGCAAGTGGTCTACAGAGTCCCAGATGGGCCACTTTTCTCTGCTTGTTTCCTCACCTGGGAAAGCTTCCTCCCCTGCCTCAGTCTCCACATCTGTGGCTGGCCTGGAATGGAGTCATTAAGTTCTCATACAACTCCATTAGGATTGCAGGAGCAGAGCCATCTAATTCAGCACCCTCCTTTTACAGAAAAGGAAACTGAGGCCCAGGAGGCTAAGTGATTTGCACAAGGTCACACAGGTGCCAACAGTCGGAGGAAGGATTTGAACACAGGTTCTGGCTGGAGCAGCAGTGTTCCCTTCACTGTTCTGTACCTCCTCAGGCTTTCTCGGCTGACCCTGGCTATTAGACAACATGGCAAAGTCCACTAGTCCTTTCCAGCTCCGTTATCAAGAACTGGCGTGCTTGCAAACAAAACTAATACAGCCAAAATTAGAAGGGAAACAGGAAACTGGGAAAAAAATGTTACAGCAAGTTTTCTCTGATAAAGGCCTCATTTCTCAAATATATATGGAATTAAACCAAATTTATAAAAATAAGAGTCATTTCCCAGTTGGTAAATGGTCAAAGGATATGAATAGATGTTTTTCAGAAGAAGAAATCAAATCATAGTCACATGAAAAAAATGCTCTAAATCACTATTGATTAGAGAAATTCTGAGATCCTGCCTCACGCTTCCCAGATTGGCTAATATGACAAAAGGAAATTGACAAATGTTGGAAGAGATTTGGAAAAATTGGGACACTGATGCACTGTTGGTGGAGTTGTGAACTGGTCCAACCATTATGGAGAAAAATTTAGAACTATATCCAAAAGGCTATAAAACTGTGTACACCCTTTGCCCCAGAAACAGCACTACTAGATCTGCATGCCAAAGAGATTGAAGAAAAGGGGAAAATGTATAAAACTCTTCATAGCAGCCCTTTCTGTGGTGGCAAAGAATTGGAACCTGAGGGATGCCCATCACCTGGGGAATGACTGTGAGGGAATACTACTGTGATATAAGAAATGATGAGTAGGATGCTGTAAAAAAAAAAAACAACCCAGAAAGACTCGTCATGTCAACGGATGCTGAGTGAAGTGAGCAGAACCAGGAGAACGCTGTCCCCAGTAACAGAAACATTGTGCAGTGATTAGCTATGAGTGACTTAGCTCTTCTCAGCAATCCAGTGACCCAAGACAACCCCAAAGGACTCACGATGAAGCACGCTATTTTTCACTTTTTTTCTTCCTTTCATTTTTTCTTTTGTTCGAGTCTTCTTGTACAAAATGGCTAATATGGAAATGTTTTACATAATTGCACATGTATAACCGACATCTGATTGCTTATTGTCTCAGGGAGAGGGGGATAGGATTTGGAACTCAAAACTTTAAATAAAACTGTCAAAAAATTTTTAGTGCTAATTTTTTTTTACATGTAATTGGGAAATATTTAATGAGATAAATAAAAGGAATTTAAAAACAAAAGAATTGGTGCGCTTGCCGCCTATGGCGTCCATGAGACACAAGCCTCTACGTGGCCCCGCCAAATGCCTGCCAGAGCAGGGAGCCAGGCACAGCCCTCAGCGGCTCCAGGGCCTGGAGCTCTGGGCCTAGAGGGAAACTGCCTATCCCTGAAGGGCAGCAATGAGAGGCCTGCGGTGGCAGGGAGGTTCTGCCGTACTCTCTGCCCCCTGCCCCTGCTCCCCTTCTTGCAGGCGGGTCTCCCACCACGCCCCGCCGGCCAGCCCTGTCCTGTGGGACACCCCCTCGACCGCTCCTCCCATCCAGGGTGGGGGCGGCCACACTGGGAGCCGGGCCGGCTCCCAGCCCACGAGATGGAGCACAAGGTCTCAGAAGAAGGAGCTCTCCCCTCATTTCCCAGGAGCTCATGAGCCACTGGATAAACCTTGGTGCTGTCAGGGAGGGCCAGCCCTGGCTCTGAAGCCTCTGTCCCCACATCCGGGGCCCAGAGTCACCCTCAGCCTGGCCACACCCACCTGGAAGGCCCTCACCCACCCCCAGCTCAGCTTTTTGGAAGTGGACGGGCTGGGGAAGGAGGGGTCCCCCTCTATGAAGCTGACAGATGCAGCCAGGCTACAATGGGTGGGCAGGCCTCTGGCTCCCAGCCACCATGAGCTCCCTACAAAAGGTGAGTGGCATGAGGACACCTAGCACATCGGGGCTGGCCACATCATTGTTTTGTGTGTCTGAACTGGCCCCAGCCCTCCAGTGGGACAGGAAGGCTGGCCTAGAGAAGAGGAGGGTCCTCTGCTGGCCGGCCCACAGGAGGGGGTCTGACCGGGCCACGGGAGGGGATCTGACTTTGCCGTGGGAGGGAGTCAGACTCTGCCACGGGAGGAGGTCTGACTGGCCCACAGGAAGGGGTCTGACCGGGCCACAGGAGGGGATCTGACTTTGCCACGGGAAGGGGTCTCACTGGCCCATGGGAGGGGGTCCTCTGCTGGCCAGTCCACAGGAGGGGATCTCACTGGCCCACGTCAGGGCGTCCTCTGCTGGCCAGGTCTTGGGATCAGATCTGTGAATACTGGACCCCACACACAGCCTAGGATTCCTGGGCACCCCACCCACTTGAGGTCTCTGCCCAGACACTTACTTGACAAATTTGTCGACGTGGGACATGGACGCCTCATAGTTCTTCCCGCCAAACTCCTGGCAGTGCAGGGCCATGAAGTGCGGCTTGTGTGTGTGCACAATCTGGAAAAGCAAGGAGGAGAAGATCAGAAGCTGAGCCAGGCTGGGTGATCAGCCGCAGCTCCTACGTGGCCAGAGCATCGACTCCAGACCACTGACGCCCAGCCCTCCCTGCCCCAGCAAAGAATCCAGGCATCTGCAGGGGCCAGAGCCTGGCAGGCGACAGGGCCGTCTACACCCAGCACAAGCTCACAGTCAGTCCGGCAGACATTTATCAAGGGCCTACTGCGTGCCGGCACCATGCAGGGCACAGGGACGCCTCCTTGACGGGCCTGCATTATGCGCACAGCTAAGTCACCACCTGTGGCTGAAGGGGCCCAAGGAGACCCCAGCTACCACAGTGAGCTTCAGGGAGAGCCCAGGACTCCTCACTGGGCTGGACACTGGAGACGGATTCTTCTCATGGGGAAACTGAGCCCCAGAAAGGTCATGTGACTTGTCCCAGGACACACACAGGCAGCTCGAGGACGATCAGGGAAGGCTTCCCGGGGGAAGCACCGTGAGCGAAGGTCCATGGAAGGAGGAAGGGGCAAAGAGGGTGCGGGAGGCATGGGGGCCAGAGCAAGGGAGGGACAGAGCGAGGAGAGAGGGAAGGGAGGAAGGTGAGGCCTCGAAGGCTGGATTAGCGCTGCCACCATCCCAAGGCATTCCCAAAGGAAATATGGCTGGAGAAGATGGACCTCTGAGAACGGCGCCAGTGACCGACCACGGCCCCTTTCTTCACCAGTAAGTAGCAGTAGAGAGTGGCCTGTTGGTCACTGAAATCCCTCTGAGACCAAGAGAAGCGATCAGAAAGCCCAGGGGGCCATAACCAAGCAGTCCTTCCAGGCCGCGGCTTCCTGATGAGGACAAGGGCCCAGGAGGCGCGTGCCCGTGAGCGCTGCCGGCAAGCTCCCAGCCCACCCGCAACCAGGGGCCCTCCTGGGGTCTTGGGCATCCCTTTCAAAGACTGGTGCTCAGGGCAGGCCCTTCATCTTTTTTCTTGCAGACTTAGCTGGAACTGGGGAGACGGCCAGTGTTTACCAGCTTGTCAGAATGTTAAGGCTCCAGCTGAGATCCCAGATTTTTCCATCACATGAGAAGGACCTAAAAATAGGCCTCTATAGAGACTTGGGCTGACAGCTGGCCACAGGCCGGTGGCTAACCTGGGCAGGAAGGCCCCGCCCTGCGGCCACCCTCAATTGGAGGGGGTCCTAAAGCTACTCCCCCAGGCGCTGGTTCCAGAGAGCCCCCCGACACTCACTCCCTCACAAAACAGCAGTCCTCCACCCCAAGCAAAGCGAGGCCAGACCTCTGACTGTGACCCCATCTTACAGATGAGGTAACTGAGGGTCAGAACCCGTGCAGTCCTAGCACCAGGCCTGGAGCCCAGGGCTCCCCACCCTAGCCTGAGGGATCCTTATGACTGGGGTTGGGGTGGGCTGGGCCAGGTTCAGAGGCAGAAACAGTGTTAGGGATCGCTTTGTTCTCATGAAAAGCTCAGCCTCAGCAATGCACAGAGAGGGAGCCTGGGGCACGTAGGGTGCCCTCAGGAACATCACCAAGTGTCCTAAAAGGTGACTGTGCTGGCAAGGTGCAGGGATCCCTGCCGTCGCCCAATCCAGCGCCCGGCCACATCTGTGTCCCAAGTCAGACGGTCCCACGGCGATTCTGCCAGGCCATCTTCTGGAACGCCCACCGAGGAGGGTTCCGGAATTCCACCTGAGGCCCTGACCAGTCACCACGGGACAAGAAGTGTGGCCGCGGCCCATGTCTCAGTGTCTGGCGGCACGCCCACGGTGCCACGAGCCTCTGGGTGTGATCCGTGAAGCTGTTCCTCCAGTCTCAGCCACAAGACGGCCACGGGATGACTGGGTAGACAATGAACGTGACCCGCCAATTCATAAACACGTGCCAGGCACTGCGCCACCGCCGCATCGCCCACCCCCAGCCACTCAGTCCCACGCCCCACTCTGCTCTCAGGTTCCGGATTCTCCCCTCTCCAAGCCAGCCTTGTCCTTCCCAAAGCACCTGTGTGACTGCACCACTTCTTGGCTCAAGTCATCCGTGGTTCTCTGCCACACTCCTCAGCCTGGCCCAACAAGACCTTGCCTGCCTTGGCTGGCGTGTTCTGTGTTAGTCTTCTTCACAGAAACGTCCAGGCCGGTCACACTGACCTACCGGGCCTATATTCTATCTCCCACCTCAGCCTCCTAGAATACCTAGCATTCTTCAAGCACAGCTCAGGTGCCTCCTCCTACAGGATGCCTTCCCTGATCTCTCCTGCCTGAAATGGCTTGGGATTGCTGGTGTTTACCTCCTTACAGACAGACCTTTCTGTCCTCCTCCCCGTCTGTTCTGGCAGAACAGGGGCGCAGGGACTGGTGTGCTTCTTGTGTTTGTATCCCTAGGGCCCAGCACAGTGCCTGGCTCGTGGGCATACTGAGTAACACTCCTCCAATGGAATAGGGATATACTTTCCACAACTAAGAATGAGGCCACAGCAACAGAGAGACCAGTGACGTCCCGCTCCCACCTTCCGTGTCACCACATTCATCTGCTTTCAACAGAGAGAGGTATAACATTTGAGGGGGAAAATCGCCCCTGAATGCCTGACCCAGATTTGAAGGGCCATCACGCTGTTCTCTGCAGCTGCAATCACAAGTACAGCTGGTCCTCTGAGCCAGGAATAGAGATCTAGGTCAGCATCTTCATTCCCCCAAACAAAGCAGACGCGGGGAAGCCCAGTGCTTTCTGACCCCAGGCAGCAAGAGGCAGAGGGCGGTCGGAGCCAGGCTGCCTCCCCTAGCTGTCTGAGCCCCCGATGGCTTGGGACTGACGCAAAAGTACAATCTCTTTCTCCTCAGACAGCCTACAGCTCATTCCTCATTCTCCAGGAAAGGTCTTTCGACTGTGAAACCCACGTGGAATCATAAGAGTCAGCAGACATTTAGATGCAGAGAATCAGAGAAGATTGAGTTGGAAGGGGACCCAGAAAAACGCAGTGGAGAGCCTGACGCTCTCAAGTCAGAGGCAGCCTCTGGCTCTGCCAACCTCACGGGCTCCCACGCTACCCTGACCACCCTTCACACAGCGTGGCCCTTGCTGTTGCTGCCACAGCCGCCGCCACCACCGCCACGAAGGTATGAAGAGGGACCGTGTTGGGGAAGCACCAGCTGAGGAATCCGACTGGAGACACCGTGGAAAGAAGGGAGTCACTAACAAGAAGGCTGTGCTTCTAACACATCTTCCGTCCCCATCCACCTTTCCTGGGAAGGCAAAGGACAGAACCAGAGGCCCTCAGAATGGGAGGGGCCCCACCAGTCATCTCATGCAGCCTGTGCCCAACCAGATTACCGCTAGGATGACAAGGCCACCTTCCAGGCCTCACGTCTCAGATGGACTCATGACGCCTTGAGTGCGAGTTCTCCTTCCATCGCGGTAGAGGAGCGTAGGTTTCTAGCTAGAAGCAACCCTCTCTCCACCCCAATCTTACAGTTTCAGGAAACGGAGAGTCCAGTAAAGAGGACGTCCACCCCGGTTGCCCCGGGCCCTGAGGACGTGGCTGGGTCTCCACCCCTGGTCACCCAAATCTTTTAATGATGTCATGCACACGCACACACAAGTGCTGGGGTGGCTTCCCCCTCCGCATGACCTACAATCTTCTGACACTGCACTGCTGCAGGCCTCCTAACTGGACAGCGAGCCTGGGAGAAGCCTGACACCAGAGAGAGGGTAGAGGCGGCTCGGCGGTCCCTTCCGACGCTGCCCAGCCTCCCCAGTGCGATCCAGCCCGATCTGCTCCTCTGTGCTGGCGCCAGCTTCCTGTTCATCTGAAGCCCCTGCCCAGGCCAGTGTCTCACATGCACACCCCCACACATATATGCGCATGGCCACAAAGTGGTTACTTCAAAGGTTCCGCTGACCCCGCTCTGGCCACCAGCTCCAGCCAACACTTCCTTCAACCCCATGAGCCCAAGAGTAAGTCAGACGATTCGCCACCTCACTGGGCAATGCTGGCCAGGCTCCCCGGCCTGGCGATGACTCAGTGACCATCAGATTCTAAGGGAGTCAGGACATGGCCTGATTTTCTCCTTCCCCGTCTGGGTTTCAAAAGGGCCTGGCGGCAATGGAGTCTCCCGGTTCTGTGGGATGTGACAAGTTCTGAGAAGCCAGGGAAGTGAAGCACGCAGTGGAGCCAAGTGAAGCCGAGGGGCAGGAGAACAAAGTACCCCACGCTGACCACCACAGCGATGGGAAACCACCTGGAGAGGCCCTGACTGACAGGGAGGCCCAACCAGCCCTCGGAGGACTGAGCGGTACACCTGCCTCGGGGCTTCCGACAGAGAGGTGGTGGAACACGGGTGCGGAATGGGACGTCCACGTGCACGCACAGCCAACGTGTCGCTTTGTCCGGCTTGACTTTATCCGTTTGTTACCAGGGAGGGCTTCAAACTGGGGCCGTGAGCTACCAAAGGGCATTTCTATATGTTACTAACAAAGCCCAACAGCAAGAGATAGAGAAATTCCATTTAAAGTCACTGTAAACAGGGAGCAGCTCAGTGGCGCAGAGGACAGAGCACCAGCCCTGGAGTCAGGAGGACCCGAGTTCAAATCCAGCCTCAGACACATAATACTCACTAGCCGTGTGACCCTGGACAAGTCACTCAACCCCCACTGCCTAGCCAAAAATGTGAAGCTACCGTAAACATTTTATGAAATATTTAGGAGTCTACCTGATAAGACAAACCCACGAACTATATGAACACAATTATAAAACACTTTTCACACAAATAAAGTCAGATTTAAATAACTGGAAATACATCAGTTGCTCATGGGTAGGCTAAGTTAATATGATAAAAATGACAACTCTATCTAAATTAAATGACTTATTCAGTGCCACACCAATCAAACAACAAAAATGATTTTATAGCGCTAGAAAAAACAGTAACAAAATTCATCTGAAAGGTCAAAAGGTTCAGAATATCAAGGGAATTAATGAAAAGAAATGCTAAGGAAGGTGG